ATCCAGTTAGTTAGGAGACTGAGGCAGGAGGATCTCAGATGTTGGAGTGGACTACAGTGTGAGTTCCAGGCCAGGTTGCACTGCAGAGGGAAACTGCCTCCAGAATAAATGTGTTTGGGCTACCTCTCACTGCCTTCATTTAGCAATGCTACTCCCAAAGTTGCTCACAATGAGAAAAAAAAAATCTATGTGAACAAATGTGTCCTTCACTCCTGTGAGACACTAAAAAGTGACACATAAAAGAAAGACAGCCCTTAAACTGATAAATGCCATGACTACAAGAGAGTGTTTTTTCATATAAACAGAGCAAAAGTATAATTATAACTGATCCAAACCATGTCTATAATATTAGCAATGGCCAGGCAGTGGTAGCACACACCTTTAATTTCAGCACTTGGGAGGCAGAGGCAGGCAGATCTTTGAATTCAAGGCCAACATGGTCTACAGAGTAAGTTCTAGGACAACCAGGGCTATACAGAGAAAGCCTGTCTGAAAAATAAAATAATACCAATGAGCAAAGAATTTTAAAATAAAGATATTTTAAAGTGACCACTTTTGTATTTAATTTTTATTTTATAATGCTTTTAAGTTTGTTTAGCCATAAAAGGTTAATGTAACAATGGCTGTCCCCAGCCTTACTTTCAAAACTCATCACACAGGCTGGATGTATTGCTATATGCCTTTAACTCCACCACTCAGGAAGCAGAAACAGGCAGAGGAAGATCTCTGTGAGTTTGAAGTCAGACTGGTCTACACAGAGAGTTCCAGAATAGCCAGGGTTACACAAAGAGACCCTGTCTTGAAAAGTAAATAATAACAATAATAATAAGAGTTTTCACAAACATGGAGGAAATGCCTCTAGCCTTGGAAACATTTTAAAATCTACTTATAGGGCATACACTAACTATGACAAACAACTTCACATATGTAAAAGATGCTCTATCCTTTTATTCTGACATGTCACATGTTAGGACATAAGGTGATACCACGAGAGACTCCCTGTGAGTCATTAGACCCATCTCCTGGCCCAAGCTTCCCCTTTCATTGGCCGTGGGTGTGGCAATACCCAGCCCTTGCCTTTCTAGTCCTTTGGGTTTCATCTTGAAAACAAGGACAAAAGCAGTAACCCAGAGGTCCCTCCTTGTTTGAACATTATTTGATTCTATGCTTAAAAAAAAAAAAAGAGGATTTGCTTTTGTATGGTTACCTAATCCATGGCTAGCTTGAAAAGCAGGAAGTGTAGTAAAGTGCTTTGTCCAATAAAGTAAAACAGTACATGGTAAAGGGAAAAGACATAGCAAGGATGGGAGAAGACACTTCATTCACCAGGCATCTGTCTGGTACCTGTTGTTCTGTGTACTGGAAACACTGAAAGTGCCTGACTATATGGCAATGAGTTTCTAAATGGAAGGGTTGGCATAGACAGCCAACAAATACAAAGAAAGAACTTTCATTTGGTTCCCTATTGAATAAGTACCATGGAGGAAAAAAAATGCAAACAGAACAAAATAATTCAGGAAGAGGACTCCAAATTTAAATGAGGGTTTCATAAAAAGACAGCTGAGCTGGTAAGGGTGCGGGGTTACAGGTCTGTCACCCTGGCATCCAGGATGGTAATGCAGGAAACAAATTGAAGGCCAACTGTGGCTACATAGCTTGTTCCAGGCCAGCCTTGGATGCATAGTGAAATCTAAATTTAAAGTTTTTTAATGTTTCAAGATATAACTGAGTAAAGTTCTGAAGGAAGAAAGCAAGCTGCTGTGAAGGCCCCTTGTAGGTGTCCCTGGACGGAGAGCAGTCATGGCAGGGTTGGCTCATTCCCATTGCTGTGGCCAAGAAACGTTGTGGCAGGCCAAGGTGGGTACAGACAACAGTTAGGAAAGTGGAAATAATTTACGCAGCATGATAATGGGTGGCAAGAAATGGGAATGCCCTCTTTGTGGGTTTTTGGTTTTATTTTTGGAACAAAGTCTCTCAATGTATCTCTGGCCATCCTGGAATTCGATATGTAGATCAGGCTGACCTCAGACTATCAGTGGTCCTCCTGCCTCTGTCTCTGCCTCCTGAGTCCTGGGATAAAGGTGTGCTGCACCATGCTAAAGGTGGATGTCTTTGAAGGCAGATGTGAAAAGATTTACAAAAAGACCGTGAGTGCCTGGTGGAAGTGGAGTGAAGCTAAGGTTTGGGAACAAGAAGGTAAGAACTGGACAGGGTGACTTTGGGGTGCTAAGGGTGCTCACTGGATACCCAGTGGAACCCCCAAATTGGCAACTCCAAAGTTTGAGGTAGGTTCTAGGCTACTATCAATTTGGGCATTATCAATACATAACTAGTTTAAATGATACTAATTCCATAGGATGAAGGAAATCACCAAGGCAGAGTTCCAAGGACTTAGGCCTAGTGAGATCCACTGCTAAAGATCTGCGGCTAGAGTGGGTTCAGCTAAGGAGATGAGGAGTGCCCAGGACACTGCGGGGAAGCCAAGTGATGGAGTGTTTCAAGAGGAAAGGTCAGTCAGTGGTGACTAGATCTACACTCGCAGAATATGACAACTGAAGATCTCTTTCATACATACATATCAATTAAACTAAAAGCTGTTCAGTAGTTAGAAAAGCATCTGTGTGTGTGTGTGTGTGTGTGTGTGTGTGTGTGTGTGTGTGTTACAATAAACTTCCAAGAAAAAAAATCAATGTTGAAACATCTAGGGTTTCATATTTTCCACCAGCCCCCATGTCCATTGTTCTCATAGTCATTTTTTAATCTTATAAAGATGTTAAGATCCATGCGATAACAAATGGAAAATATTCTAATTCTTTGTGATGTGAGACAATAAAGAACCTGACTAGTTGTAAATCATTAATGAACTAGATTATAAAAGTTACTTCTACATGGGTTAAAAAAAAATCTATATCAGATTATGGGTATGTGTGCCAGTCAGATTTACCTGTTATACAGTATGCAGTGAAGATGGTTTATAAACATAGTCATCATGTTGTCTCGTGCAGATCATCTTCTTCCAAAGATGCCAGCTAGGAAACCCAGCTTCTTCCAGTCATGTGGGCAAAAGTGTCTTATTTCAATCACCTTACTGAATTTAGAGAAGGGAGAAGAGAAAGATTCAACTCAACTGGTATTCTTGGGACACAGACATCCTGTCTCCACTCTAGCTTTTTACTGGACATCAGGCTGCCAGATCAATAAATATAAAAGACCAACACTCATTTTGGTGAATATGGGTGATCTGTACATTGCCTTGGTTTATTGATTAATCTTCAACAGTAAATCTCATGTCCTGCGAACCTCAGGCACCTGTCTCCAATGCTTTGGTCTGTTTTACAATCTTCTGGCACTGTTCAATGAAAGCTATAAAAGAAATGCTTCTTTTCCATTACAGCAAGAAGAAAAATGTCAAGAATGGGACCTCAAAAACACATAATAGAAAAATAAATAAATAAGACCATGCTATATCCCAGGTCTTTTCTTCTGATAGCAGTTACCATCAGGCCATCACATCAAGTCAAACAGCATGAAGTTTCCAAGCCAGATTTTCTTCAGACATGTAGATGTGATTGTTCTCACAAAAATATTAAATAGCCAGGCATAGTGGCACACAATTATAATGCCAGCACTTGGGAAGTAGAGGCAAGAGGGTCAGGAGTTCAAGGTTATTCTAGGAAACATTGTGAATTCTAGGTACATGAGACACTGTCTCATTTCATACACACACCAAAATTATTGGAGTAAAAACTAAGGTAAGCATGATTTCTTAATGTCAAGGGGTCACTTGTATTTTATTTATTTTTCCATTTTTTTCTGTTAGGTTGTTAATCTGAATGTTAAGAATGAAGATATCTGTAACTTGATTTCATATTCCCTGACACAAGACTATAATGGGAGATATTTAACAATCCTTCAGTACTTACAGATGGTATTTGTTTAACCTGCTGCATTATAAAGCTCAGTCTGATAATATCTTGAAGATAAAAGAAGGGAGGAGACTGTGGAATGTGTGTGGTCATGGTCCACTCAAGGATCATACACCTCATTGGTGATGTTTCAAGTTTTGCTAATAAGGAAAAGCCCAGTGTGGTGGCGCATATCTTTAATCCCATCACTCAAGAGGCTGAGGCAGGCAGATCTCGGTGAGTTCAAGGCCAGCCTAGTTTACAAAGTAAGTTCCAGGGTAGCATGGAACTGTCTGGAATATGCATTACACACACACACACACACACACACACACACACACACACACACACACACACACGGAAAGTCCTAGCATGTTTCACTACCCTGTTCTTCTCCTTCTTGCCCTCAGCTTAAAACACACAGGGCACACGTGCTTCTGGTTCCATTCTCTAAACATGGTAAGGTTTTCTTTTTGCTTTTGCCATTATTTTTTTTTACTTACTGGTTTATTGACAATTTTATACATATATAAAATGTATTATGATTATATTCAACCCCCGTTACCCTCTCTTGTCTTCTTCCTCTCTCTCTGAACCCCTTCTTCCCAACTAAGCTTGGGTAGATGGTTATTTTACTGAAACATGGCCACACTACTGAAGAAAAAGACACTGCCTCCTTCTACTACCATTAACTGCCCATGAGAGCTACTCAACAAAGGGTGGGCCCTCCTGGGCACCACCATGATGGCCTGCCGAAGGGCCCAGTACTGTGAAGGCAGTATTCATGACTCCACGGCCGTTACATATTCATGCTCACCACGACTATGTCATATCTGGATGACAGTGTTTTGTGGCACTCATAAATCTTAGTTCTTTATAGATTTGAGACTCAGGCCTGCCGGGCCATCTGTTTCCAAATGGGTGAACTGTTTTGCTTTGTATTGTTTATATTTCACATCAAGGTTCAAAGAAAATCTCTTGAAAGTCAAGGGGTGTTCTTCTGCCAAGGGGAGGAACTTTGCAGACAAAATTAGTTCAAAATGTACTAACTTGATTTACTGTCCTTCTTCCTTCTTCCCTCTCCCCGCCTTTCAGGTACAGAGCAGTGGCCTCCTGAGTCGAGTGCAAGGAATTGGGATCCCCTTGATTACTGCCATTGAAATCGTCTCCATCTGGATCCTTTCCTTTATCCTGGCCATCCCAGAAGCCATCGGCTTTGTCATGGTACCCTTCGAATACAGGGGGTGACCAGCATCGCACCTGCATGCTCAATGCCACAACAAAGTTCATGGAGGTATTGATCATTGACACAATTCACTGACCACATCACAGCCACCATTTTAAAGATGTGCCACAGCCCAAACGGAATCAGCTGGGGAGGGAGGCGCCATAGTTCACCAACTGGAAACTTGCTGGTGTCTTCACCAGGCTGCTGTGCCGCCTGCACCACAGATGCGCCTCCACTACCCGGAAGGCCATACCGGCCTCTTAAATAGAGCAACTGTGCCATCTCCCACTCTCTTCCTAGTTAGTTAGTTAGTTAGTTAGTTAGTTAGTTAGTTAGTTAGTTAGTTTTCGAGACAGGGTTTACTCTGTATTACTCTGGAGTCTGTCCTGTCCTGGAACTAGCTCTGTAGACTCAAACTCACAGAGATCCGCCTGCCTCTGCCTCCCGAGTGCTGGGATTAAAGGTGTATGCCACCAACACCCCACTGCACTCTTGTCTTATAGTACATCTACAGAAAAAACAGTTTTCTGTACAAAACAGTCCAAGCAATATACTGAGAGACTGTCCCTGTGAGTTCAGGATGTAATCTGTCTTTATGATTAAAAGATACCCACAAGACTTTGCATCTGACAGACATGCACGTGTTACTTTGAGAAAATGCAGTTTTCTCGGTTATATTTCTGAGCACAAATCTTACTTATCCAAAAAATATTTCACAAAATGTTTCTCAGCAAAATGAGCTGACTATGTGCCCTGTGGGGGAATCATTGTAACATGTCTGACACTATAGGTTCTGACCCCTGAGCACATCTGGTAAAGGGATTTGACATTCTGATTCCGGGAGCTTGGGCTTGCCTGGTATAAATGGGCTACCACGTTACCTGGGCTTATATTGACACAAACCCTAGACCTATACCCCTGAGTACTCAGCATTGCTCTGAAAAGCTTAAGTACAGGCCTGGCTGCACTGGGAAACATCTCTCAGAATGCACGTTCCCTTTGCAAAACTGGTTCCTGGTGGACAGCAGACACCCATGTCCGGAGTCAGTCAAATTAAGTGCTTTAATGCCAGGGTCACCTGTACAAGACAAGCTGTCCACATCACAAACAGCTCAAAATATGCTTCCCTACAGTGGGAAAATGACCAGATTCGTGGTTCTGTAGCTGATCATTTATCCTGCTTGGACATTTTTGTTTTAACATTAGAAAAACTCATGAAAGCTGGCAACCTCAAAATCAAAGTCTGTCTCTCACTGCCTTTTTAACTGGGTCAGTTTACACAATGAAAAGCAAGATAGTGGGATGGCTAATGGCTTAGTCCATTTTTAGGGTTTATAATTGTTGGGGGGGGAGCACATAAGCATTCTGGACTTTCCAAAAAAAAAGGCATTTGAGGAGAGAAGGTCCCCTAAGAAGGCACTTAACCCCTGGAAATGGACAAAATGGGCAGGTGACGTCATGAAGCCTGAGGTGTCCGTGGGAAGAGTTTGAGAAGAGGGAGCCAAGTGCTGGCAGGAGTGGCTGTGGGTTTCATAGGGTGTGAGTCAAACTGGTGAGGTTTCCGCATCCGTTCCAAGTCTAGGTATACTTTTCTTTCTGACACGACTTCCCACCTCCTTTCATGCTCCACTCTTCAACTGTGCTCTACTCTAGACTATCCCAACACCCTCTCCATCCCCAGCTGATAATGACAGTCAAAAACAGAACCGTGAACCCCTTTCAGTAGGCCTCTGTCATGGAGCGGATGGGGTACTCCATGCAGCTCTGTCCTGGGTCACAGTCTAGACCCCAGGCTGCTGCTTCTAGGCTACACCCCCTCAGCCTGCAATTCTGTGGGAGAGCTAGGAAAGTGGGTTGTGAAGGAGTGGAAAGCCTCACAGGATGTTTGTATGGTACTTCCAAACAAGGACAGAGTCCGGATTTTTTTTTTTTTTTAAAGTTCCAGACAGAGATCTCCTGCAATGGGATGGGCTAGGGAGGTCTGTTTAACAATCTAAAGAAACAAACTCAAACTTGCACTTAATCTGGGATAGAATTCAAGGGTCTGGGAGCTTGGATGGGAAAAGAAAATGTATTTGTTTTCACTAAAATCCTCCTGAAATGTATCATTTCCTCTGACTTTAAATGTAGATAATAGCCTGGTGGTGGTGGTGCACACCTTTAAGCCCAGCACAGGAGGCACAGGCAGGCTAACTTGTGAGTTCAAGGCCAGCCTGGTCTACAGAGTGAGTTCCAGGACAGCCAGAGCAACATAGAGAAACCCTATCTCAGAAAACAAGACAAAACAAATGTAGATAATAAACCACTATAATAAACCACTACCATGACTTTTTCAGAGAAACGTGCACAATCTTGAAATAGTAATGCTCATTGCTGGTATTAATGTTTAATGTTTGATAGTTTTGGGAGCCATTATATTATTTAATCAGACCCATGTGCTACACAATTTGCTACCAAACACATATCTTTATCAAAATTTTATTTTCAGTATTTTGATAGCTCCATTTCAATATAATTGGTTTCCCATTGTGACTACATACATTTAACTTTATTCTTATTAAAATATAATGTTTATGTCTGAAATTTTTATCAACTGATAAGGTGATAGAGTTCAATCCCCAGAATCCATGTAAAAATGTTGGGCATGGTAGCATAGGCATGTAAAACCAGTGCTGGGAAGGCAAAGGGCTGCAGGCCACACACAGGCTTTCACCAGATAGCCTAGCCAAATTGGCCAGCCCTAGGCCCCAGGGGGGAGATCCTGCCTCAAAACCCAAGGAGAATGTCTCCTGCAGAATAACACCTAAGGTCTTGCACATGCAAGCACACACACATGCAAACTGACACATGTGGACACATACACACTCACGTACACAGACACGAACATGCACACTTACACACACAGGCACACACACGTGCACATGTGCACACACACTGTATTGTTCTCAGAAGGAATTCTCATGTTCATCGGATTTCCGAAGGGGTCTGTGGTATTTGACAGTCACGAAGCCTTGCCTGAATGTTTGTCTTCTGGAAACAGCCATAAAGCGTTTCTTTCCATGCACAGTAACTGTCAGTAGTCAGGGAGCAGGGTGGTCATATCTGTGGGAACTGATGGAGCTGTCATAAGAGGCTATGTTACCCTCAGTAAATAAACATTCTGGGGAAGTAGGCATAAGGGAAGTGGAAAGCATGCCTTCCCAAGTTCAGGGTTATTTCAGGAAAGCTTTTGAGTAGTATTGTTCAACTTTCATTTTTATCCTCCTTTAAAAACACAGAAAACTGAGGGCTAGACAGATGGCTCAGGGATTAAAAGCACTGACTGCTCTTTCAGAGGACCTGGGTTCAATTCCCAGTACCCTCATAACTACTCACAACTGAGGGGACCTGGCACCCTCACACATACATGCAGGCAAAACATCAATGCACATAAAATGAAAATAATTTTTTAAAAGACAGAAAGCTGAACAATGTGTATTTGTATAAATCCTTGCCCACAGAGAGTGCCGAGTCAGCCTTTAGCTAGAGTATCCCCACTCATTAGTTTCCAGGTGGCAAGTATTGAGAGGGAGAGTGTGTGGAGTTATTGATGGCTGAGCTGACTGACTCTGGGGTCACATAGCAGGCATACCAGGCAAAGGGTTAAGTCCCACTAACCTCAGTCACAGATAAGCCATTCACTGATAGCCTTCACTGTCCCTACATGAGACACTCACATTAAGCATACTTTAACCATACAATCAAAAAGTCAGCCAATCTTATCAAAATGTTGAGGCTCAGGAATAAACAAAGATGAAAATGTCTCAAAACCCATTATATGAACAAAAGGAGACTCTGCACTGATTAGAGCTCCTCCAATGTAATAGAAATGAGCTCGAGGATCCTGCAGAAGCAACATAGGAGGGATAATTGGATAACTTTAATGCCCATGTTTTCATATATTACAGCTTAGAGGACAGCACTTGCCTAGTGTGTGATCCAGGCATGATCCAGTGCTGAAAAATAAAATAATAAGTTAAAAAAGATCACAATGCAAGTTCTTTACTACTGTCGAAGAAGGTATATGATTGCACCTACAATCACAGGAACTATGCAGTGGTCAGGGCACTGCACAGTCAGCTTTTGATCCAGCGCCTGTCTTCCATTTTCCTCACTGGACAGTTTTACCAAGATGTGAAGGACTGGTGGCTCTTCGGGTTCTACTTCTGCATGCCCTTGGTGTGCACAGCGATCTTCTACACCCTCATGACCTGTGAGATGCTCAACAGGAGGAATGGCAGCTTACGGATTGCCCTCAGTGAACACCTCAAGCAGGTAAGTCTCGCAGTTCCTGAGAACTTGGCTGAGGCTGCATTGAAATCAGCAAGCCTGTGAGTGCAGGTACTTCCCTATACAAGCATCACAGGCAGCTGCAACTGCACAATCACAGTGGCTCCCATACGTTTAAGGGGAACTGGAAACGTCATCGCCTAGCATCTTTTACAGTATCTTTTTTCCCACTCTAAGATATATTGAGATAGGCAAACACTTACGTATTACAGTTGCCTACCCTATCCGGTACAGCAATATGTTACACAGATGTGTAGTCCAGGAGCAGAGGCTGGACCACACAGCCTACTGGGAGGTAGATAATGCCATCAAGCAGTGTGCTTGTACACTCTTGTGTTTGCAGTGTTGAAATTGCCTAGCTACACATTTTTCAGAACATGTCTGTGTCTTTAAGCTGCACATGACCATGTTGTATATAACAGATTTATGCTGATTTTCTAAAAATAAAAATGTTCCCTTGTAGCTGTTTTCTTTATATAGCCTTAGGAATTCCTTTTGAGAAGTGGGAATCCTGCCTGTGAACCAGATGGCCCTGGGAAGCTGGGCTTAAAGATAGTTAACTCGTGGTTATTTTGTCAAAAAGTGTACTGAGCATGTGTGCACGGTGTGAAATGGGCTTGTGGCTATGCCAGGACAGAAAGGTGCATGTGACTGCATTCCCTTGCAGGCTCTGTAGTCTAGCTGTAGAATAAAATACAATTTCAAGCAATTAGAAAGTAGAATGATAAAGTACAATCCAAACAGCCACACAATACAAAGCCAGGGCATATATGAAATGGAACTATGGAGAAATTGTCTTTGTAAATGAGGGCAAAAGCCCTGGGAGAATGTAGGATGGGCACCAGGCAATCGGAAGTAGGAAAATGGAAATGAATTTGATCAGATCAGCACCCCAAATAAGACTCTTGCTAGGAAATTTGGCAAAACACAGAAAAAGAGGTGAAATCTTGGAGGACCCAAACTTTTAGAAGGAATTTGAACATGCCAGTGGGAGTTAGATTGTGTCTTTCAGACAGCAGCTAGATCAGTTATACTTTGGGACTTTAGAAGGCAAAACTTGACTCTTAAACTTCCTAGTCATGTGACCTTGGGCAGATTACTTCATGTCTCTGGGCTCCTCAATTTTTCATAAGTATGTAATAATGTATTTGTGGATTGCCAAAGACATGTAAGGCACTTAATAGTGTCCAGTTCCTGGTAGGCAGTCAACCAAAATTAATTTATGTTGATTCATAGAGTTAAAGTAAAAGAGTGCGGGTGAAGTTCCTGGTAGCTGTGGGAGAGTATATGCGAACATTCAACCACAAACAAAAGGCAGAAGCTGTTGCTGGAGTCCCTAAAGCTAGCCATATAATTATCACACAGGCGCACCTTTAGCACCCTTTCAACTACTGTGCTGATTCCCCAAGCTTCGGCCCCTTGTCTGCAAATTGGCCATGATAATAAATGAATCAGTGCTATTATGGAAATCTAAGGAAGGGTGTGCACATGTGTGCTCTGTGGAGCCCACTGTGTCACACAGTGGGGGCTGTTACCTTTGACTGACAGTGATGTTTATGTTGAGAAACTTTAGCCTGACTTAGTTCAGAGATGAATGTTGCAGATACCTCAGGTGCAAAATTAACCCCTTAAGGCCAGGTGTGGTGGTGCACATCTTAAATTCCAGTAATAGGTTAGCTGAGGTAGATGGATCTCTATGAGTTCAAGCCCAGCCTGGCCTACATAGTGAGCCATAGGCCAGCCTACAATAAATAGTGAATGAAACATTGTCTCAAAATCAAAACAAACAAAACCAGCTTTTCTAAGCCCCAGCCCTGAACACTGAAATGAGTATGCTTCTCCTCCAGACATCTCTGAACCACACCCCAGCTGGTATCATGACTGTGGGGTTACAGGCTCCAGTTCTTTGGGCTGCACCAACAATTTGGGATAACACTCCCTAAAGGGCTCAACCTGTGTTTATTTTCAGCTTCCTGAACTTAATGTTGGAAGCCTCAGATTAAGACAGTGTTATTTTTCCAGAATTATGTTCTAGCCTGTTACACAGTCACTTTTGTTTGATGTTAATTTGTACCCCAGTTATAGCCAGGTTGCATTTTCTGCCCCTGGTTCTGCTTCTAAATATAAGGGGGGTGGTATGCCTCACAGTGTGGACACGAATGAAGGGTAGAGATAATTCCCAACCTACAGCTGCCCAGGACCATAGCTGCCCAGACCACGAGCAGACACCAAGGCTGATAAAGCCGAAGTCAGCCCCTTGATCAGCACGTCCAGTGTTTCTAACTATGACAGCTGGTGACTCTGTACCCCACCCTTCTGTTTGTAAAGAGCAGATTTTCAAAACTATATGTCATTAAAAAAGGAATTTTTTAAATTAAAAGCAAATCTCAACCTAGGCATGGTAGCAGATGCCTATAATACAAACAAGAGCAACAAGGCAAAGGGATCTCTTGGGGCCCAGGAATTCACAACCAGCATGGGCAACAAGCAAGACCCTGTCTTAAACAAAAGAAACAAATAGTAAAAGACAAGTGGAAATGGGGCTGCTTTCTCTGTATACTTGTCCTTCTGGGTGCTGTGTCTAGTTGTCTTGGCTGTCCTGCTGCATCCCTAAGGCCAATTTCCTGATACCCAGCTTCCAACTAACCCTACAGGTAGTCACCCTTTAGTCATCCACACTCCTCAAAAACACACATGCCGTCAACAAACATACATGTTCCCATGCTTAGACTCATCAACACACATGCCTTTATACTTAAGTTCAACCATGGTGTTGACCCAGCCAGCTCCTGTCTTGCCCTGGCATAGACCCCTGCTGTTGTCATCAGAATATCTGAACCTGGCAACTGCCCAAAAGGCATGGTTAATGGCTCCTCCATGAGACAGTTGCACACTTGGTCTTGGAATGGGTAGACATCATGTGGAGGCTACTCCAGACTTCCTCCCAGCAGCACCTCCTCCCTACTTGTATGTCCACTATTTCTGGCGTGCAACAGCACTAACCTTTATCCTTGTCTGCATGCACTTGCCATTAGCGTCGAGAAGTGGCGAAGACTGTGTTCTGTTTGGTTGTCATCTTTGCCCTCTGCTGGTTCCCTCTTCACTTAAGCCGAATTTTGAAGAAAACTTCGTGTATGATGAGATGGATAAGAACCGATGTGAACTGCTCAGGTAGGATCCCAGGTGCCACTTTTCACACATTATAGGGTGTTTACATTCTTACTAGCTCTGAAAGTTAAAAATGTAAAGTTAATTATATGTCTTTAGCTGACACCAGCCAATAATTGATCCCTAAATGTGTTGGAGTCCTGTCTGTAATCTTGCCTACTCCTTCCTGAAGCTGTGCCACGGTTTCCACTAACCATGGCATTGGCCAGGCAGCACTTCTCACTAAACTCTACCTGCCACCCATGAGGCATGGCTTTGGGGCAGGAGAAGTGCTAATCTGGGGGATAAGTGCTATTTAGCAGATTTTAAAGCAGTATGTTCTAATGACACTATTTCCTTTGCTCTAGCTTCTTGTTGCTCATGGATTACATCTGGTATCAACCTTGGCAACCATGAATTCTTGCATAAACCCAATAGCTCTATATTTTGTGAGCCAAGAAATTCAAAAATTGTTTCCAGGTAAGACTGTTTCGCAAGCTCTCTCTCTCCCTAAGGACAGCCAGATCAGTGTACTCTGTACCCAGCTGGCATTGCCAAATCCATTTACTCCTGCTTTGATAAGGCATGTTCCTCTTCATTAAAGAAATGAAAATCTCTCTCTCTCTCTCTCTCTCTCTCTCACACACACACACACACACACACACACACACACACACACACACACACAAAAAGAAACGAAAATCACTTCCTGCTACCTAGATAGAGGGTCAGACTGTCCATAGAGCAGAAGAGCATTATATATTCAGGTGACATGTTCACAGGTTAGACCTAAAAGGACTGACTAATTGCACCTCAGTTTAGTGCCTCTCTTCAAAAGGAATTTTCAAATATAAGCACCACGCATTTTAAATACAGAAAGTTTCCAATTCACAACTTCCATTGTCTTAGACAGACAGCTCTGCAGCTGAGAAAGCTCCCCATGAAAGCAGTTAAATGCTGCATTTAACAGCCTTTTCGAAGTTGGAGAAGTGGTCCAGCAGTGAAGGGCAATTGCTGCTCTTGCAGAAACTCAAAGTTCATTCAACACTCATGGTAGCTTAGGAGCCATCTGTAACTACAGTTTCAGGGGATTCAGACACCAAGCACACGCATGGTGTATCTTCAGGAAACACTCAAACACAGAAAATAAAAATAAACCTTAAAAAATAATAATAGATCCTATCAAGAAAAATAAAACTGACTACTCTGGACCTCTGCACAACTGTGATTTCATTTGTAGTCAGCTTACTTATTTCAAATCTTCTTCTAGACAAGCCAACAACATCATCAGGAGCTCCAAGCATGACACTGATGTCTCACTTTCCAATTCTGGAATGATTATCTTAGCCCTAATATTTACTGGGTTGTATTTTGAACTGAGATGTTTAACTTTAGGTGCTAGTGTATGTTACACAAAACAGAATAGGGGTATATTCTGTACATTTTTTTTTATTGGTTGATGAATAAAACACTGATTGGCCAGGCAGGAAGATAGGTGGGGCTAGGTCAAGAAGAATTCTGGGAACGTGTAGGCAGAGGAGTCCATATGTGAGACTGGGAGAGAGGCCATGAGTCAGGTGGTGCCCAGTAAGACCATGTAGAAATACATAGATTAGTAGTTATGGGTTAATAATTAAGGCAGAGCTAGCCAATAAGAAGTCAGAAGCCACTGGCCAACAGTTTTATAATTAATATAGTGTCTGTGTGCTTCCCCAGGGCTCAGAAGGGCTGCAGGACGAGCCAGGCCAGAAACACTGCAAGACAGCACAGCATAGCATTTGCTAATGGTCTCACCCATCTGTGATCTCAATGCGTCCTTCAGCTCCCTCAGTTACCTCCTCTAAAAAATAGATGAGCTAAAAGTAACCATCCAGTAAAAGTACAATTCAGTGTGGATGACAGATGGATGGATAGATAGGAAAGATAGATAGATAGATAGATAGATAGATAGATAGATAGATAGATATAGATGATGATGACAGATAGTTGCACACACAATAAGTACCCAGTAGCAGAGTGGGCTATTGTTTAGCATAGAAAAGGAAAACATAGTAACTGCTCTCAAAGAACCCACCCATGGTCTAAATAGAACAGACTATCACCCAGAGATTGGTACAAGCAGGTAAGTGTTGATAATGGGGCTATAGCTGCCATGGCTTTGAGGTCTTCTTGGAAAGATGTTGGGACTAGCATGGGTTGGCTCATATACAGGTCTAATTAGTGTATTTCATATGCTACACTGATAACACTTGCTGATTAATTTATATATGGTCAAGGGAAGAGTTCAGTCTGGGAGAGCCCTGCCTTATGCAATTTACAGTCTGTTCTTCTTAGCCACTATCTCCTTCATAAAGAGGGTGTCAACAGCACCTACAGCCTGGGTTGTCTTGACGGTCAGCTGAGGTATTGACAGATGCCAAGCATCACATAAGAAATACACTGATGAAGAGCTGGTTCCCAAGCCCTTCCCAGCTGTATCTCTCATGCCCTGGAAGGCCCCGCTCCAACCAGCACTGCTGTCCCTCATCATAACCATAAACAACATAGTTAAAATGAAAAGCAAGAGACCTTTGCTCCTAATCTCTCTCTGGCCTTAACAAAGCTCAGCTGTCTCGGTTGTCCATGGGCATTGACCCCACTGGTGGGCCCCAAGCTTTCATTTTGGCTGGGAGAGGGTCACAGGCTATCTTTTACACACACTCTCTTTCCCACCCCCCAATCGTGCCTCTGTTGCTGTTGTCACCAGTCCAAAAGCCTCTTGACCTGGGTCCCCATGAATGGAACAAGCATCCAGTGGAAGAACCATGACCAGAACAACCACAATAGCAGAAAAGGGCAGCCACAAGAGGACAGCATGAACTAACCCTCTGCAGAAACACCCATCACTGTCTTCAAGTCCTAGTGGGAAACAGGGACATAGCAGAGAGCCTCCCTAACTCTCCCAGGTTCTCATCCCCCCCTTCCTTCTCTATCTAACCCATGCCAAGAAAAACTCTCCCAACAGCATGTGGGTGGAGCTGACTTCCAACCACACTCCATGGGTCTCTTCTAAATGCTTTGTATGGTTGCATATTTTGCATGTCATTCCCAACACTTGAAAATTATGAGAGCTGGGAGAAAGGAGGTCGTTCAAGAAAACCATAGCATGCCTTTTTAATCTTTGCAGAGTGCAAGTTCATGACCAGCTTTCATGCAGGTCTATGGAACATCCATGAAAGACATCACTGGACTCTAGAGCAGTGGTTCTCGCTTCCTAATGCTGAGACTCTTTTCTAAAGTTCCTCATGCTGCCGTGACCCCCAACCATAAAATCATTTTTGTTGCTACTCCATAACTTTTGTTTTGCTGTTATGAATACTAATGTAAATTTCGGATATTTCTGATGATCTTGGGTGACCCCTCTGAAAGGGTCTTGACCCCTGAGTTGAAAACCACTGACCTAGAGGATATACTGGGTTCCAATGGTACATACCTGTAATCCTAGAATTGAAGAAGTGAGGCAAAGGCGGTCAGAATTCCCGGTTAGCCTCATCGAGTGGTTCAAAACAGCCTGGGCTATTTGAGATTCATCTCAGAAACATAAGCGACAAAAAGAGTTTAGAGATTATGACAAGATTCTTTTCTTTAGCCAAACACACTGTGAGATTAAAGTACATTATTGGAAATGTCATTCAGTGTTAATATTTTATAACTGCATAACACCCTAGAAATGATTGTTCCATCTTATTTATATATACTGAGAGGAGGAAGCATCAAATGAGCAGATAGGTGATTTTGTGTCACTGTTTTATTTGTAAAACATGAGTTCTAAAGCTACCACAAGTACAGCCATAAACTGGGAGCTACCAAGAGCAGCTTAATATTTGCCAACCAAAGAATTTTTAAGAACCTGTATTTTCTCTATTTCCTTTTATAACGATGTTTTTACTAGAGCTTATTTGGGTTTTGTTTTGTTTCAATTTTGAGATGAGGTTTTATTACTTAGGCCAAATCAGCCCCTGAACTCCTGAGGTCCACCTGCTTCTGCCTCTCAAGTGCTGGGATTAGAGGCATGAGCCACCATCTCTGGCTTAGCATATTTTTTATGTTAAATTTTAAAAAAATGATACTTTGAAGCTAAGTGAGATGGCACATACTTGTGCTCTTAATATGTGGGAGGCCGAGGCAGGGTGATTTTGGAGTAGAAAATTACCTGTAGTAAGTAGAAAGATTCTACCTCAAAAATAATAGTTATTAATAATAATACTGACATCAAATGGTTCTATTTTTAAGCCTGTCTTTTTAAATGTAAAACCATGTCCTAACACATGAGTTACTGAAGTAAGTAAGACTTCCAGTGCCATGTCTGATGCAAACCTCTGAGGAAAATGTTGAATATTTTTCGAGATTCTAGAAATATTCTGTAAGTTCTACAATAGTAACACATACATAATATGTAGTCCTTTTTATGCTCTCTGTTTTTTCTTCAATGATGACTGGCTACAAGGCTTTCCTGCTTGTCCTTTTTCCAGACAGGAAACAATTTCAAAGTGGCCAAGTGAGCTGATCCTGTCCACTGAAATATGATTGCTCCCAATAACTGGTCCTTCAAGTCTTTACTCCTCTCTGTGATATGAACCTAAATCCCCATCCTGTCCCCCCATTCCCAATAGTCACCATTTCAAAGGGCCCAAAGTAACTCTACTGGGCATTTTCCAGATGTTTACAGACTGTGAGAATGACAAATATCTTTTGTTTTGTGTGAATATAAATATATAAATAATCATACATTTCTTTTAGCCAAATTTTCTGATAGTCTCTCACGGTGTGTGTGTGTGTGTGTGTGTGTGTGTGTGTGTGTGTGTGTGTGTGTGTGTGATGGCACATATGGATTTAGTATAATCTTAAAATGCCCTGTGTTTGTGCCAGAGTGGATTCTAGCTGATGGTTCATTAGACAACCCACTTTGGTCAGTTTTCACACATAAAAATCTCAAATGTTTCCATACTTGTGACCCAGTTACCATTAGACATTATGGGAAGCAT